TGTCTTAACCTTGTCTTCTAGCTTCTCATTGACACACCTCAACTCACTAAGGCTTTTGGTTGTCCTGAAGATCACTAGTTAGCATCTCTTTCTCTTACTCAAGTTCGTCCACCTTCTTAAATAGGGTTTTATTTATCTTCCTGATCCTAAGACTTTTCTTAAACAGAAGTTGGTAAGCCTCACGAATATCGATATCTTCTTCAGTATCTTCCCCAGAATTTTCACTGTGTGCTTCTTCCTCAACCTTGTCACTCTCCTTGTCTAACTCGCTCTTAACTGTAGACACAAAAGTCATATAGCCCCTTTCATCTTTATTGCTAGAGGAGTCACTTTGATCACTCAAGGTTGTTTCATCATCTGTCAATGACACAGCTAATGCCTTGCTCCTTGCCTTTTTCAAGTTTTTCTTAACACTAGGGACTTCATTTCTGTAGTGTCCAAACCCTGACACTAATGGCATCTAATAGGTTAAGGCCTCTTTCTAGAGTACCTAGCAATTGGTTTATCATTCTTATCACTTTGGAATTTACTCGGACCTTCCTTCGTTCTCTCTTAAGGCCTCGTCTTATTCTTTAAAGCTTTCTGAAATTTCTTCACAAAGTAGGCTATCTTCCATCCTTAAGGGTCCCCATGTAAGAGGATTCAGACTCCTTTTCCTTAACAGTGTTCAATGCTAAATAGTAAACTCATAGATTTAGAGGGATCCTACCAGTTCTTCTATCTTGACCATGTCTAAGTCCTTGCTCTCTTCTATCGCTATAACCTTGGGTCTAATTCTCTTTGGTAAAGACCTAAGGACCTTTCTGACAATTTGGACTTGGTAGGTTGAAACTAGAGTTTACAATGTCATTCAATTTAGCATAGAATTCATCAAATGATTCATGTTCCTTCATCCTAATTTCTTCAAACCTAGAGGCTAACATTTGCAATTTGGAGTTTTTCACGATTTTCGTTTCCTCATGTGTAATCTCTAAAATGTCCCATATTTCTTTAGCAGTTTCGCAAATTAACGCTCTTATAAATTCTTTGGGAGACACAGCCATAAATAATGCATAGAGTCCTTTACTATTCCAGTTACAGTCATCTAATTCTTCCTTAGTCTAAAGTGAAATATCAGTTGGAGTGATTACACCTAACACAATAGCGGATGGGGCATTCCAACCACTTTGTACACTAACACAAACACGTTCATCTAGGGACCTAAGAAATGCGCATATCCTAACTTTTCGATAAGCATAATTGGTTCCGTCAAAATATGGAGGCATAGATAGTGATTAACTCATCTAGACAACACTTTGGGTTAGGACTCAAGGTTTGGCTTCGATACCACTTGAAATAATATAGTTTGACTCAAATAACACCTCAAGGGGGTGAATAGGTGTTTTTAAACAACAAATCAATAATTGCAACAAGTCACAGTTTTCAATTTAGTCAAGATTCATTCACACGCACTACTACCCTATGTTGGAACTACCGTACAATAGGAAATTGCAGAAATTTAAAGAACAGCTTGTTTGATGACAAAGAAAACCCCTTACGAGATTAAAAACTCCTGGCCAAAGCCAGTATGAATGCACTATCAACGAAAAATTAACTTACAGTCCACCAGACTCCACTAACACTAGTTTTTCTAACCTCTTGATTGTAATTCTTCTAAGCCTTCCTGGAATGCGTGCTCCTGCACCAACTCTCGGGTCTTGGTATCATCTATCTTCTATGGATTCCCAAGAACTGCTAGTTTTCCAACGATCGGAAACCTCGATCTCCTTCCTTGATCTTCAACCCTTGATAGATGCACTGGAATGACAAGTTTTGATGTTTGATGGATGTGGATTTGATGTTTTTGAATGAGTGTGCCCACAAGATTGAGATTGAATCAAAGTAAAAAATATGTAGGATGTGTTCTTCTAGTTTAATCTCTAAAAAAATGTAAGAATACAGCGCACTAGAATATACATGACATGTTTTGGGTAGTGTGGGCTGGGTTAAAGTCTCAAAAATCACTAAGTTGGGTTGCTCCAGATAATACTATCGCTCGTGCGAAAAGCTAGCACCCTGTTTCGCTCGACCAAGGCTGTGGTGATGAGGTCTCTGTTTATTACACTCGAGCAATCTCTTGATGAATAGCTAGCAAAACTTCAACAAATCTTCTTTCCTTTTTCTCAAACTCAAACCCTAACATACTTCTACAAAATTACAATAAAGTCCCTGACTTTTAAACATATACAA